CTGATTGAGCCAGAAATATAATGGTATCGGGTGTGAAACAATTAGGGTTGATTCAGAGCAAAAGTCTTTTGAAGCCTACTCAAGCTGATTGAGCAGAAGCCAGGTTGCCCAAGACTCAAGGCCACAAACCGACCACTATTTTCAAAACTGACAAATTTTTCTTTGTATGAAATAGGAACAAAGCGGTGCAAGAAAAGTGATTCAAAAAGAGAAAAAAATGAAAAAGAAAAAAAAAGAAAAAAGAGAAGAAAAAGGAAAGACGAGGGAGCCGACAAAGGTAAGTTTCTCAAATCTTTGCCTTTATTTGTCATGCTATTGTGTATAAAATCTTGCCATTGATCTTCACATTTTTCCTCCTAGGATAAAAGTCCTAGTCTGATGGAATTTCCTCCCAATATACATCTTAGTCTGATGAATCTTTCTCCTAAGATAGAAAACCTAGTTTGATGAACTTTCTCCTAGGATCAAAATCTTAGTTTGATGAATCTTTCTCCTAAGATAGAAAACCTAGTTTGATGAACTTTCTCCTAGGATCAAAATCTTAGTTTGATGAATCTTTCTCCTAAGATAGAAAACCTAGTTTGATGAACTTTCTCCTAGGATCAAAATCTTAGTTTGATGAATCTTTCTCCTAAGATAGAAAACCTAGTTTGATGAACTTTCTCCTAGGATCAAAATCTTAGTTTGATGAATCTTTCTCCTAAGATAGAAAACCTAGTTTGATGAACTTTCTCCTAGGATCAAAATCTTAGTTTGATGAATCTTTCTCCTAAGATAGAAAACCTAGTTTGATGAACTTTCTCCTAGGATCAAAATCTTAGTTTGATGAATCTTTCTCCTAAGATAGAAAACCTAGTCTGACGAATTTTCTCCTAGCATAACTTGAAAAAGAAAAGATGATGTCTCGAAAAAAAAAGTCATTTGTTCATGCCTTTGAAAAAAACCGTTTGAGCAATTTGTTTAAACGAATGATTTTCTCAAACACGAAATAAAATCATTTCCTTCCAAAAAAAACCTTCTTGGTTCATTTTAGCATAGGTACACAATTCCCTAATCTGCTTTTCCAACGTAGGGACTCCACTCCCTAGTTGATTTTATTTTAGACATAACGTCTCCACTCCCTAGTCGCTTTTCCAACATAGGGTCTCTAATCCCTAGTTGATTTCATTATAGATATAGAGCTCCATTCCTTAATCTCTTTTCCCAAGGATACACAATCCTGATTTTATTGCTTTCAATAAAGAAGTAGTTTAGAATTTTGTTACAATAACTCATGAAATTATCCTAGCGAAAACTGGGGCAGAAAAATTTCGTTCGTTTTTTTGTTTTGGTATCTGAGCAGGTTTTACCTCGAGGCACAGGGTTCGAGATGACCAAAAGAAGTGGTCTCAATCCAAAATAAAAGAAAAAAGAAGAAAAGAAAAAGAAGTGAACTCAAAGTGCAGAAGCGGAGAAAAGATGTGAATTGCTCAAGACGTAATTGAAGTCACAAGCTTTGCATGCCCGCCTTGATCCGAGAAGTTGGAAGAAGATTGAACCAACACCTGCAGCTAACAAGTATCAAGATTCAGATCAGAGTCCGCATGAAGAACTAACCAAGACATAAGATTAAGCTACAAAAGACTCATAGATAGAATCTTGTAACTCGTAGTTGATATGGTTAGCTAGTTTAGCTTTTTATTTTCCATTTGGGTGTAATAAGGAGCTCAGCAAGCAGAAATAGCAGCAACAGTAGCAAAATCACAGCTTCTCGGTAGTCCCAGCTATCAAAACTTCCAGAACTACACTGACCTGATTTCTTTGTAGCCAATGATATGTAGGCAACCTCCGAAGCAAGGTTCGGTCATATTTTTCAAAAAATGCTTCTCATGGAGTTTCAAACGGGAAAAATTGCTCGTAGTTGCTCACTTTATCTTTGCCCGTAAACTCTTCATGTTTTCGAGCAAAAAGGGGCAGCTGTGAGTACGTGATTTTTTCCCTATATGAATTACTCCTATAAAATCAAAGAAAATAGATTTTTTCCAATTATTTGCCATTTTATAGGATTTTGTAGGATTTTTATTAATTATTTGCATTTTTGTGCACGTTTAATTCTTATTAAAATCATGAAAAAATACCAAAATATCATGCATTGCATTTAGGATTTATTTTTACACTTTTAGAATTAATTAGTAATTATTTGCTTTATAAAAATTTGAAAATCCACATTTTTTTTCTTTTAATTTTTGGCTTATTTATTTTCCTCTTTTAATTTAGAATTAATTAATATTTACAATTTTTATAATTAGTTAATTAGTTTAATTTCACATTTTTAGATAATCTAGGATTTTTAATTAAAGAAAAGAAAAGAAAATAAGGAGTTTAATTAATTGGGTTAAAATTCGGAACTTGCGCCATTTTAAAGCCAAAATCAGTCCAAACAAATTTTTCCAGCCCAAGTCAAAATCGGTCCAATATCATACCCAATACCCTCTTGGCCCAAACTCTTTTTTATAAAAGAGCAAGACCTAGACATAAGGGATCAGATTTTTCCATACAATTTAGACCCCTACCCTTTCACCAAAAAACGGCGCTTCTGACTTCTTCTTCAATAGAGAATCAGCTCCCTTCCAAAATTGAACACAAGCAACGCCCTACCTTTGGCTGCTTCTTCTATTCTTCTTCATTTCTCCATGGAAAACACAACAGACCTCTAGACCCTAGAGCAATCCGCCGCTGGAATGCACGAGCCCCCTCCCCTGTTCATCTTCTTCAAGAATCAAAACCAAGACTCCCTTTATTTTTCTCTGAACAACACACACACACAAACGCATTCAGCGGCAAACGAAAAGCAAGAAGAAAATTTGAAGTTTCAAAAGTTTGGAAAGCTAAAAATAATAAAAGAGATTTCAAAAAAAAAAGAGGAAGAAAAATCGGAGAATAGCGAGTTTCGAAAGGCTGTGTTGATTGTCGCTGCATTATCTCCTCAATTTCTGGTTGCTCGAGTTGTTTTTCGAATTCGAGGTCTGAAGCTATGTGCTGTTGGTTCTGCTTATGCTAGGCTCCAAGCTACTAATTTCGAACATGTATTCGACCTCCTTGTCTTCAAAATATGGTTCCAGCTAATAGGTATGATTATATAGTTTCTTTGTCCTTATTTTTGTTCACTGAATCGTGAATGTGATTTGGGTTGATACGTTTCTACCTAATTTTGGGATTCTATGCGTTTAATCATATAAACTAATTAGAATTCCCCCCTCTGTTAATTTCTAATTTTGAAAGCATGTCAATGGGTTAATTATGTATGGCTTGGTTGCATTGTTTGAATCTAGTATAGGCTCGGTGAAGTCCTCTTATATTGAAAGTTGATGGTTCATTTGCTCACAGGAGTAATTTAATTATTTTGCTAAGATTTGTGATTGAGACTATTCTGATTTTTCACCCCATGAACTCTAATTTGAGCTCGCGCATGGATTTGGAGTTCGCTGGACTCTACAGCTATGTGGCCTAGCAATAAGCATTGTTTTGGGCTTTAATTGGGTCTTCCTTACTTTACTGGCTTGTGGGAGGTCTGGTACAGCCCTAGAACCAAAGGAACTCAATACGGTAAAGTAGAAAACTCAGTTATTAAGAATAACATCACAAAATAAGGGTTGGTTGGGGTATTACTGTAGTCACAGCATAGAATTGAAGCAACTGGTTAGTATTGTGCTCGTATATTTTTACAACGTCCACATGATGCTTTCACCAAGTAGTATGGATTATTCATTTTTTCCATCTCTTTTATATGAAAATGTTACTGATTGATGGAGTTCTGGAATTAGCTTTTCTTGTTGTACTAGACCAAGTCTGTAAAGTTAGTGAATCGGAATTTAAATGTGTGACCTCGAATATTGAGGGACCAAATGCGTAAAGATGGTATGGAGATGAACCAAAGCTGGCACCTTTCTCTTGTTATTTTTACATAAAACCATGCCAACTCCACCTTTCTGAATTATAGAATGCTATTATAGAATGCCAAGTCTATGGCCCTCACAAAACTAGTTAGCTATTATAGAAAATTTGAGGTGTGCCATTTTCATTAAATAACCCATGGCCCTCACTTAATTAATTTTATCCTTTTAGAAATCGAGGTGTGCCATTTAGTTGAAATTTCCATGATCCTCACAAACTTGAAGGTGCGTAGTTGTTTTAGGCATGTAATTTTAATTAATTTCCTTAAACTCGGGTGTGTATTTCATGTGACCCAAATCCTAATCTCAACGACATTAAATAAAATGTGTCGTGGATCGCGGGTGCATTTCATGTGGCGTGGTTCAAGAAATGTTTTAAATAACGGTGAATCTTCCTAAAAATGATTAAAAGCAGTTAATAAGGTAAAAACACACCATAGGTTAAAACATGTATTAAAATCAGATATTAGGCCAATTATAATAGTTTAAAGTGACCGTGCTAGAACCACGGAATCCGGGGGTGCCTAACACCTTCCCTCGAGTTAACAGAATTCCTTATTCAGAATTTCTAGTTCGCAAGACTTCAAAAGGAAAATCGAATTTTCCTCGATTTGGGATTTAAAATAAACCGGTGACTTGAGACACCATAAATGATTCCAAGTGGCGACTCTGAAAAATAAGTAAATAATCTCATTTCGATTTATATCACTTTAATTGGAAAACTCCCTTATATCACCTCTCGGGTGGTAAAAAGGAGGTGTGACAATAAGCACCTTATATATGAGAGGCATGATCAGGAGATTAATGATGAGAGTGTAAGTCTCTTCTAGGAGACAAGAAGTTATGAGGGGATTGCTTTGTTGTTGATCAAACGTAGTTCATGTCATAGGAATTGCTTTGTTGTTGTTACTTTTCTCTTTTTCTTTTACTTTTTTTTTTCTTTTTTCTCTTTTTTTCCACTCTTTTCCATTCTTTTCTTTCCCTTTCTCTCTTCTCTTTTCCTTTTTTCCGTCTTTATTTGCCTTTTGTGTCCGTGATTCTTATCTTTGCTACTGATTCCAAAAGAGGGGTATGAAAGAAAATAAATAAGGCTGAAAAGGGTAACAAAGGATAAAATGTTTAGATAGCAGAATAAAATGTCTTCGTCATTCCAATCTTCAAAACATGCTAAGTACAAACAACAATTAGACAAACCAAAGAAATCATACATAATATCTTTTTACCGCATCAGAATTGATAGCCATATCTACACATTTGCCTTCTATATCTTTTAATTACAAAGCATCATTGGACAACACTCTCGTTACAATTAACAGCCCTTGCCAATTTGGGGCGAACTTGCCTTTTGCTTCAGCCTAATCTGGAAGGATGCGTTTCAATACCTGTTGACCCACTTCAAATTTCTGGGGACGCACATTCTTGTTGTATGCTCTTGCCATTCTCTTTGATACAACTAGCCACGACACACTGCTGCCAGTCTTTTCTTGTCAATCAGACTTAATTGCTCCAAACGTGTTTTGACCCACTCATCATCATCAATCTCAGCTTCAGTAACAATTCGAAGAGATGGAATTTTGACTTCTGCGGGTATCACTACTTCAGTACCATATACCAACAAATAAGGAGTTGTACCTACTGAAGTGCGAATAGTAGTGTGATAACCCAGCAAAGCAAAGGGCAACTTTTCATGCCATTTCCTGGAACCTTGCATCATTTTTCGAAGTATCTTCTTTATGTTCTTGTTGGCCGCCTCAACAGCTCCATTCTCCATGGGGCGATATGGGGTGGCAGTTCGATGAGTAATCTTAAACTATTGGCATACCTCTTTTATCAACTGACTGTTAAGATTATCACCATTATCTGTGATGATTACCTTTGGAATTCCGAACCGACAAATGATATTTGAATGGACAAAATCGACCACTGCCTTCTTGGTCACAGATTTGAAAGTCTTAGCTTCAACCCACTTAGTGAAATAATCAATGGCCACCAGAATGAACCTGTGCCTGTTTGATGCTGCAGGATCAATTAGTCCAATAACATCCAGGCCCCAAGATCTGGAGTTCTTTTGTATAAAACTCCCCCGCTCAAGAAAAATCCACTAGCGAAACGCTGAATTGTTCTCTTTTGATCACATGTGGCGTGTATCGGATATATCCACATCCTAATGTATTCCCTGATATCATGGAACCATGGTTCACCATCAAGTTCTTCCTTAACCACATTACAATAGGCATGCTAATCACGAACTTGAATGTGCAGAGGGTCAACATAAGCTTTATCCGGATGGTGCAACATTGACGCCAAAGTATCCAAGGCATCGACAACCTCATTATGGAGCCTTGGTATATTCCTGAACTCTATTGAACAAAACCGTTGACAAAGATCATGCAAACATTGTCGATATGATATGAGCTTTAAATCATGAGTCTCTCATTCTCCCTGAATCTGGTGCACTAAAAGATCCGAGTCTCCCAAGACCAAGACTTCCTGAACTCTCATATCTACAGCTAACCTCAATCCCAAAATGCATGCCTCGTACTCAGCCATGTTGTTGGTACAATAGAAACGAAGCTGGGCCGTAACAGGGTAGTGATGACTTATTTTAGAAAAGAGCATATCCCCTATTCCGACACCTTTCATGTTAGCGGCTCCATCAAAGAAAAGTTTCCAACCTGGTTTGTCATCCTGTTCCAATTTGTCAATATGCATCACCTCTTCATCAGGAAAATAAGTCCTTAATGGCTCATACTCTTGATCCATCGGATTCTCGGCCAAATGATCGGCCAATGCTTGGGCTTTCATTGCGGTCCGAGTCACATAGATAATGTCAAACTCTGTGAGCAAAATCGGCCATTTTTGCAAGTCTTCCTATGGGAATAGGCTTTTGAAAGATATACTTTAGAGGATCCAGACGAGAAATGAGGTAAGTAGTGTAGGACGCCAAATAATGCTTCAACTATTGTGCCACCCAAGTCAGAGTGCAACATGTCCTTTCAAGGGAAATATACTTAACCTCATAGGATGTGAACTTCTTGCTGAGATAATAGATGACTTGCTCATTTCTGCCAATGATGTCATGTTGACCCAGTACGCAACCGAACGAATTGTCCAAGACTGTCAAATAAAGAATTAAAGGCCTCTCGAGTTCCGGCGGGACCAACACAAGTGGGTTTGACAAGTATCCCTTGATCTTATCAAATGCCTCCTGGCACTCATGAGTCCATTTGACTGCAACATCATTCTTCAGCAACATAAAGATGGGCTCGCAAGTTATTGTGAGGTGAGCGATAAACCTGTTGATGTAGTTTAAAAGCTTGAGGAGACTCATCACCTCAGTCTTATTCCTTGGAGGTGGCAATTCTTGGATAACTTTAATCTTTGACAGGTCCAACTCAATGCCTCGACGACTAACTATGAATCCCAATAGTTTTCCAGATGGAACACCAAATGCACACTTGGTAGGGTTAAGCTTAAGATTGTACTTGCAGAGTCTTTGGAAAAACTTCCTAAAATATCCGACATGGTCTACCCGTTGCTTTGACTTTACGATCACATCATCCACACAAACCTCAATCTTTCTTGTGAGAACCATGCTTCAGTTGACATTTCCGAAGAATATTGCAAATGTGCTAATACATCTCCTCGTAAAATACCTAGATGTTGCATTCTAAAATAGTACAGCTAGATATGAGCACTACAAAGATAGGCACTAAAAGCCTGAAAGGGATAAATATTACCTTAGTGTGACTCTCGTCCCTAGTAGAGCGAGGACGTTGAGCAACCCGAAGAGCTGGTGAATGAATCAAGGAGAGCTAAAAGCGAAAGAATGTCATGTTGAAGTTTTGACAAGAAAGGGATAGGCAGAAATATTAACAGAGTAGTGAGAAGAGAGATAAGGAAGAATTATGAGTGAGATATGATTCATGGATGACAACGGTAGAGTGCTACAGAATCTATAGTCAAAACAAGAAAGAGACGAAAGGTGGTGGGCCTAAAGACAACAAAAACGTATAGGCCATATAGTCACATCCTCATTTAAAGAAAAACGTTCGCAGCTCTAATGTGATTACCAGAAGAAAAAGTTTAACCCTAGATTAATATAAACCGGTATGAATTGTTTAACAAGATAAACTAACCATGAATTAGGGATAGAGTGATTGATCGACATCATGA